TGTTTGTATGAGTATTGCTTTCAAATTAATACCAGCCAACTAAAAGCCATTGTTGAACTTTGTTGGGAAAGCTATGCATGATCTCTAAAGGGAGAATCAAGTGCAAAGATAAACCAGTCAATAAATGTGGGTTATCTTATGTTCTTGTGTTGTGTGTCTAAATGCTTACGTGAATAGCATGTGAGGGCTCAATTGTAATGTAAAGGATGCATAAAAGGAATTTATCACATTTATGCCAGGATTCTTTATTCTGGCTGCATAAATAAATAAATATTAACATTTCTGAGAGCTGCACAAGATTTCCCATTGGATTCAGCCTTGTGTCTTGAATTTCAGCTAAATTGAAATTCAAAGGAGATGCTGAATGCAGCAAGCCCTGTTTAAAAAGGATTTGTATTTGGTGGGCCATATCGTGTCAGGGATAGCATTTCCCAAATTCTGTTCCCTACGATCTCAAACAAGCTAGGAGTAATGGTTTTAAGACCCTTGCAATTTAGCTTCAGCTGGCTCCAATCCATTTTTTTCCAGCTTTGTTTCCTCTAAGGCTTTATTAGCTACTGAACATTCATAAGCTTACCTCTGTTTTGACAGGGCAGCAAATCTCTGCTTGCCACATGTTATGCACATACCTTCCTTCTCCTCCTTCCCCACCACAAATAGGTGTGAAATTTAAACCTTTTAACTCAGACAGATTCAAGTCCAGACCAATTTATAAAGCAGATGACACTTTGCAAAAATCAATTTCAGTGGTCAGACTATGAAGGTCAATGGAGATTACATATCATGGAAAAAAGTAACAGGAATGGAGGAGTGAAGGAAGATCAGCTCTCCAGAGCAATTATGGAAATGTGACACTAACAGAGGCAATACTCGAGTAGTCTTACTTCAAATAAACACAGGATCCGCCTACATCTCTGAAACAGTTGAAAAGGAAAGAACACGGTATGTTTGCCACAGATCTTTTTCTTTGCATTTATCTCTGTGTTTTCTAATTTAGCTTTGTTGTATTGAAAAATTAAGCTGGAAGTGATGGCCTTTCCAAATCCTCCAGAAAATTTGTGGGAAGGGAAACGGAATGGACAATTTTTCCAAATTTCTAGAGAGGAAGAATAACTCATCCAACCATTTCCGAAAGGTAAGACTCCCAATTTAAGAGTGACAATAGTACCTACCCCTACTGAAAAAGGCCTCTGGAGGACTTCCTTCCTGATGGCTTCTCTTGGGATTGAATAGAAATGTGGGTAGCCAGGGAGGAGATATAGTGAAAGACAGAATATTCACACCCATCATCCTTGAAACTAACTGCAAGAACACCACCCTCCACCCATTAGATATATGTATTCAGCAGACCTGAGGAAATCTGCATTTATTTTCCCCTAACTCTGGGGGGCTTCCTAAGAAAACACTTCAGAACTATCTGCTGAGGATAAAGGGAAGCCACCATCTTCCGTGCTTTCCTGAGAGATACCCCTCCCACTTTTTTCTGTACATTTAGGTATTTTATTTATTTATTTAATTTTTATTTATTCATTAAATTTATATGCCGCCCATCTCCCCCAGAGAGTGATAGTTAGTTACATACTATCATTCCTCATTTGTGGTTTGATTCCTGAATTTTGCTTCCATGCTCTGCAAAAGTGCTAAAGGCAGCATTGGCGAAGGGACACAGGGATACATTAAGACACAAGTCAGCATGTTTAGGAAGAAACAGTGGTAAATATGGGCACAAGTTTACTGTAAGCATATATTTTGGAAGAGCACTGGGCCCACATCCAAATTTCATACATTGCCAGCTATCCTACCTACTGTGAAATTTAATCCCAGATAACTGGTTAGAGACCTGCAGATTATGTGGCAGATTATGCTCATGTCCCCACATCATGTGCCTACCTGCTATGATCAGGCTGGGGCAGGATGGATCCTGAGGCTGTCCCCCATTTTAGTCTCTTATCAGGGCTTTCCCCTCGAAAGTTGCCAGTACTTTTCATTTGCCTGTCCATACTCTGGATCCATCCTCATGTCCCAAATGCCATCATTGACCATGAAGTTGTGAGGAAAGCACTTTACGAAACAGAGAGAGGAGTTGGTGGGGAAACACTGCACTGAGTGAATAAAAGAGGACAAACTGGATTCCCCTGCTGAGCTGAGCTTGGGGCAATGCTTCTTTGAGCTTGTGATTTCAAGTATGGATTTATTTTGCCACTGGTAAATACAGCCAGCATTTATTTGGTTAACCATAAAAAAACAACAGTGTGTGTAAGTAAATGCCACAGCACCAGTAAAAGTTTCTATAGTTTGCTAGAAAACTATAGCTATGCAGTTAAATCAATATGGCTGCAAGCATCAGTAATTTTTATATCTGCATCATCGTGAAAAGGTACATCTTTCGTTCCTCCCAAACTTCTCTCCCCATTTCCTTACCCCAGTCTCTTCTGGCTCTGTCATTTTTTAAAAATTCCTGAACAATCTGCATTCAGTTTGATTGTTGTAAGCTGCCCAGAGTTGTAGAGAGTTGGACAATATACAAGTTTAATAAATTGTTGTTATTCCCTGCCTTTTGCAACCTTTCCTATTATACGGTACGGACTTTTGTATGCAGTTTTTCCTAATGTATACTTAAAATGGTATATCCCACATATACACTCTTTTTTGTGCAGAAAAGGACAGCTGCTAGCACACTTTATTCACAACTTGACTCCATGTCAAGTCAATTTTGGCAGGTTTGTCATTTCACTCCTATTCAAACCTAGTGCTCATTTAATTAAAGACTAACTTATAATAGACCTACTGACATCAATGGAATCAGTTATGACTGTTCACTGATTACAGTGGTTCTATTTTAACTATGTCAAAATCTGAACCCAACCTATAATTTTGGAAGTTAAGAGTTACCCCATTAGGGCATAGTAGAAACTGTGAGATTAACTATAGGCATAATCTGCTAGAACATTTTGCTGAAGCAGAATTGAGGAGGATTTTGTCTATTAACTACACTACAGCTAAATTCTTCCCCAAGGTTAGTGCCAATAGTTAATATGGATCAGTATAGATCACAAAGCTGTACGGATTTGAAAGGCTGCTTGACAAACAGCAGGAGTGACCTATCGTTCTTCCACTAACAAGCTGCCATTTTGACAGGTCTTTAAACCACCACAAATCTTTTCTTTGAGACACATAAGGAAAATATTTACCTCAGTTCCATGGCATAATTAAAATATCTGGTCTTTGCTATACAGTGAAGTCATCTTTTGGGATCATGACTAAGAACCCAAGAGTGAATGAAACACTGACATTATTTTAACTATATTGCAGAGTACAATTTTTTCAGTCACATCTGAGCTCACAAAGTAAAACAGACTTCAAGTTATTAACCTCTATATGTATAGTCCCCTTTAGTGAATAAAAGACTGGTTTCTGCTGGAAGAGTTTCATTTCTTTATTATAACCAACCATGCTAATAACATTCTAAGACATAGAAACTACAACGTAGAGTTTCAGGAGGAATAGCAAGATTAAAAAGAGAGATACTTATCTGGAATTATACTCTTAATATCATTGTTAAGATGTTATCAGGCTCTGTGTGTGTGTGTGTATGTGTGTGTGTGTTTAAACTTTGTTTTTAACAATGTAGCTTTCAAAATGTGAAAATGTCAGGAAAGAATGGTCCACTTATGTGTGTTTCCCTACTTCTGCTCTGTAATTATAATTGGAAAGGGGAAAACCCTTTGCTTGCTTTAGAGATTTTCAGCATATACTTACATTCTCCACACACTGTTTAATATTCTCACAACAAAACTTCCCCTAAGCATTTAATTTCATGTAATAATAACCAGATGATCTCTATGGGATAAAGCACAGAAACGAGAACTGAAATGCTGTAAATGAACAAATCCAAGTTCCACAGAATAGTTCTTTATTTGTTTCTTTAAAAGCAGAAAAATGGGAAGGGGAAGATTAAAGCATAAATGATCAATAGTGAGACCTGTGTATGAAAGTCAGAGCACAAAAGTTTTAGTCTTAAAAAAAGAAAAGCTTTGACAAAAAGATTCAGCCCCAAAGCTCACTGACTTCTGTAAAGTCTTCTGAAAAAAATTCTTGATTTTAGGGAGAGATACAGAGCAAAAGTTCTAATTCAAATACGAATGTAATAAATTAGGGAGAAAAAAAATCATGTATAACATTTATCATGTTTTGTACTGTGAAGTCTAATATTTAAAACACAAATCCTTCAAGCCATTAATACTTCTCTGCAGGTCACTAGACCATTAAAGGACAATGTGTGAAGTAGACAAATTGTCTTCCTTTTGTACATTTACATATATGGTAGTCCTTCAGGTTTGAAGAAGACACACTATTGTGCTGTTCATCTGTGGAGACATAAGTGGCTCTGCAGTCCCAGTCTGGAAGCGCAGAGTCTAGCATAATGGGGGCACTGGAAGTCCATTGTTGTAGTAACTGTCATTCTGTGACACCACTCACAGTTTTCTATCAATTTTTGGCAGCGCCTGTCTTCAAGGCCAGTGGAGGCTTCATAGCACAGGGTTTGCCAGCAGGTTCCATCACAGCTGCAGCTTCTAGTTCCCTTGGCTGGATGTCACAGTGGCATAAGGTTTCCTTCACAGCATCTTTGTAGTGAGGCATAGGGTGGTCATCCATTCTGATGAGGTGCCCCACCCATTTACATTTATGTAGGAAATACGAAAACTATTACTTTTTTAGCAAGCAATCTGGGAGAGACAGTTACCAAGAAAATAGTATTCTATTTTTTTCCCCCCAAAAGAAGCCATATATATGAAAATTCTGGAAATTGCCCTCCAACACATCCCGAAGATATCAGATTAGGGAAGTATGATTCAGCTATATTGTTGGGAAAACTTGGTTTTAGAGGCAGTGTGCAAATATTCAATATAAATCAAATTCTGAATAATTAATACTTCTAACATCAATGGACAGCAATGGGGAATGAAGTTTGTAAATAAAATTTTAATAGCCATACTTACTCTTTCTCTGTCACAATGTAGCCATATTCTTCCTCTTTAGAAGACTTTGCATCTAACTTGAGGCCTTCTGCCATCTTTTCTTGAGTTGCCTGATACACACTTTCATCTTGAAGCCAAGTATTCTTAATCCAGTGATGAAGTTCAGTTAGTTCCTTGGAGTTGGGCTCAGATTCTGCTTTCTTTTCAGCTATCAGTTCCCTTGAGAATGTTTCACTCTTCACATTTTCAAACCCAACTTTGACTTCTTCAGATGAAGAAGAAAGGTCTAAATCCTCTGATTTCTTCATTTCTGTTTTAAAGGATTCTTTGGACAAATACACCCTAGGCAGATTTTCAGTTACCATATTCTTACTTAGGAAATCTGGTACCTTTGAACCTAAGTGGTCCTCCTATAATAAACAAAATGACAAATACATCTAGTTTATTAGAGCTGCTTATGTGTAACTCATCAGTTCAGTTTTACAGTTCAGAGTTTATAGAAAGCTCATGCTATATAAATTACATTAGCACTTTTTATGTAGTTGACAATTTATTGAGGATGAAAAATTCTGGAATTCTGAAAGTGTAACTTCTAACATTTCTTAGGTTGCCTTAAAGAACAAAAAAATCTTTCCTACTTCTCTCAACTCAAATTGTATTCATTTTATTTTTCAAGAGGCCACACATTTTGGGACATGTGTTTTCAAACATATTTCTTTTGTGGGTCTCCATGAGGACACTCAGTTTTGTTTACCAGCAAAACCTAAAACATTAAGTGATAGTTTGGAAGAATTTATAGCAGTAACGCTTTCCTTAAAACCACATTTTAAGCAAAGTGGTTTTAGCCATATGTACCACAGTTAAAACCACATTCAGCTGTGGCACATCACCTTCCTTCAGATCTTACTGACGTACCTTTTTTTTTTCCAGTGCTGAAGGAAAAAACACCCCAAAGTGTACTTTATGGATTTTGAAGCACAGGAGACCTGCTGTGGGAACAAACTGTTTTTCTATACAAAATACATCTCCATTGCTATCAGAATATTTCCAATAATGCCCTCCATCCAAATAATCTAATCCGAGTTGGGTAACTCTAAATTTTCCCACAAATATACTGTATATTCTAGCAATTTCAGGATGACTTTTAATTAGCATTATTTTAGGGTCTGAATATTCTATTTAAGAACTAAATTATTTTGATATCTTCTGCTCTACATTTGGGTTTTCATTGGTCAGAGGGGAAAATCATTCTGGATAGGAACAATTTAGATTAAATCACTACAATCCTAAACAGATTTACATGATTTGAATTAAAAATATTATTAATGACATAAGTTACACCTTTCAGCCTATATTAAATACTTTAATATTTTAGTTCTGTTGAGTACTTGCAGTAGTGACAAATCAGTAGAATTATGTGTACTTACATTCACCAAAATCATCCCTCATTGGCATTGCATTGTTCCCCCTGAATCTTTAACCAAACTGAACCATTTTTATTATGTTTAAAATATCTTATTTCCCCTGTATGTTAAGAGAAAAAAAAAGTAGATATTTATGTTGTTAACTTACCTCTTTTTTAGCCTCGGCATCAATGTTCCATGCTCCCTCATCTGTGGAAGCAAACATTTATTGTGAGACATAAAACATAGACATTGCTTTAGTTTTCTGTACATTGTGATGTTTTTATTGTACAGTAAACATTAAGATGTAGTGGCTAAATGACAAAAGTAAAAACATAGATCAAGTTTGTCACTTCGACTCCATTTGGACACCTTGCTAATGCAAGATCAATTGGAGCTGTGCTGTAAGAGTGCATTATATTAATTAGTTCAATAGCAAGGCTGACGAATTTACCTCTGTTTATCAGTGCCTGAAAAAAAATCAATAGCTTGTCCTGCTAGCTCAGAAAAAATGTTTACAGTAATAAATGAGGAACTGCAGTGGATTTATAAATCAGGTATTTCTCAAGAAAATGGGTCTTTTTGTGTTCTGATGTCCTTTATTTCATACATAGAAATAATTACTTCTAAATTATAGTGACTCCACATTATTAAGTAGAAAAATACTGTATTGCATGAACTAGGACAGGAACAGGAAAATTTGCAATATAGTAAAAGATGTTTATCCATTTCTATGAGTTAAGAATAAACTAATGACAGATCCTTTGAACCTTGTGTCTGCTTCATATATAGTTACCAACCATGACTGATTGATAGAGAGATAGACACATATACATGCTATCTAGATTCCTAGCACATGTATCAATGAACTGTAATGCTGCAAGCTTTATTATCTGTAAGTTGCTTCAGAAACGGAGCAGCATATGCCAAAGTAATAAATCTTAATTAATGATAGGAAGGCCCTGAAGTTAAGAATATACCAGACTTATAGGACAGGATTTGTTCTTACACTTGAAGATTATTCATTCTCAAAAAGATTTGCCTTTCTGTGTTTAATGGATAGATTATTTGGGTAATTTAACTATTTAATGTTTAGTCAAACGTATAAGAGCCACTGAAATCAACGGGGGTTGTTAATCATGACTATCTAAGTCCTATTGATTTCAAAGGGCTTCCTCTCTCTAACACTGAGACTAGACAATATATTTGGAGGATATCTAGGAATACGTAATAGCTAATTCCAGATTTAATTACATTTACATTAGAGTTAGAGAGCCAGTTCGGTGTAGTGGTTAAAGCATCAGTCTAGAAACCGGGAGAAGGTGAGTTCTAATCCCGCCTAGGCACAAAGCCAGCTGGGTGACCTTGGGCCAGTCACTTTCTCTCAGCCCTAGGAGCCTTACCAAGAAAACTCAGGGACTTGTCTAGGGAGTCTCTGAGAATCAGACACGAATGAATGGATTAAAAAAACAAAATAGAGTTAAATGAATAGACCTCAAGTTAGTCACTATCAGTAAAACAACAGAGAATGATCACTAATTTTAAATGCCACACTGGTTTCAAGGGGTATATCTACATCTAACGTCTTTCCTGCAGTCCTATCTTATGCTCTTCTTCCACCCATCCTCTGAATTTCCACTGCAAATACTCCCAGGGTAGTTTTAATCACCGGTGGTTCATGTTCAGATTGAAACTGAATTCTACAGAAACTTCCTTAAAAAAGTCAGTGGGTAAGAAGGAAGGACACTTAAGACTTTCTTTGTCCAAAAATTTTCCCCCTGGATGAGATCACCCAATCCTCACATTACCGTAATCCTAGCAACCTTGGTTTGTTGATACAAATGGTCTATGGATGAGTAGTGTTACAGCAGCATTTGTGCTCACCTGATTATCTGGATCAAATTACAAGTGAGTGATAATTACCTGCCCCATCCTTGAACACAGTATAATCACAAGGGAAACAGAAAGCAGGAGAGCAGATAAAATTTTTCTCTTAGTAGCACTTTGCAAGGCATTTTAATCTGATTATTTAAAAAATTAAAATAAAGGAAAGCTACCGTGCGGAATATAGTACCTTGCATGTGAAAACCTTCATTCATTAATCCCATCTCATAATCGCTTTTTCCTGCTGCATCTACTCCTGTTTCAGTTCTCTCCCCTTCAACCTTCCCAGCGGCATTGCTCTTTTCTTCAGTTGTATCAACAGTTTGAATAGCTTCAGCAATTATATCAGCCATCTTGTCCAACTCCAGCGGGCTCAACTTATCTACATCCACATGATGTTTCTTCAGGTCCCTCAGAACATCTTGAATAAATATTTCTTAAGAAAAGGGGGAGGGGAGGAAGTTTGATTACTTATAAAAAGTTTAACACTATATATAAGAAAAAGAGAAACAAAGCATTGCTGCTTTAGCTGTAGTCCTCAATAGGAGATATTTAATTTTCTATGAATCCTTACTGTATTATTCAGTGCTAATCTGTATTCTTAAATACAACCTTGGAAATATTTTTCCTTATTCAAATATGCTTACTGAATTGATCCAATTGTATTAATTTTTAAGATTATCTTCCTTTACATATCAGTAATTAGATCACTTGTCTCACTGGACAAACAATGCCCACGGGAACAATTGATCTGAAATGAACTGGTAGTAAAATATGCTCATATATTAATCAAGGCAGACCAATTTATCTAATATTCCTGAATGCAACAAAACTATTGCATGTAAAAATTAGCACAAAAATGGGCATTTATTTCTTCACTCTACACCAACCCTTGCCGAATCAAATAAGCCAAAAATATTTGCCCTGTATTAAATCTTGACTATGATTTGGTGTAATGGTTAAGGCAACAGGCTTTAAACTGGAAGACTGTGAGTTCTAGTCCCACCTTAAGCACAAAACCAGCTGGGCGACCTTGGGCCAGTCACTCTTTCTCAGACCTGGGAAGAAGACAATGACAAACCACTTCTAAAATCTTGCCAAGAAAACTGCAAGTACTAACACTAACTCAAAGACTCCCCCCAAAAAATCTTGACTATAGAAATCAACCACCCTTGATGTTATTAATGCAGAATAATTGTGGAAACTGCTGTTGTGAACAGATAATACTTTAGAAGAGGAGCTTATTGAAGCCCTGAGTAAAATATCCCAAGTAATTAAAGGATCTTAGTTAACTCAGGATGCTAGATTTCTTATCCTAAAGAAAACTGCCAAAAGTATATATCCCAACTTGGGTAACATCTATGAATCCATTCATTCTATTTTTATTATTAAAAATATATGATAAACTATAACATCAACAGCCTTGAGGATTGAAGGAAGAAAATAATACATAATATGAACTGATAGTTTTTCCCAGAGATCTTTTTTAAGTTGTCCCACTGATCAAAACCTAAAAAATAAAATCTACTCCAAAATAGCATTACAGCTAGGAAACATAAATGATATTAAACAATGAGGTTTTTAGTTAAACAAACAAACAAAAAAGGGAATGTAGTTTGCCAGAACTGTTAGCATTGGATATCCATAAAAGAAAAACCAAACCTCAGTTCTCAATTACCCAAATCAATTACAGAGGTATTCACACGGGAGGTCAACACAATCAAAATGGTGGCTTTGATTGCATGGTCATGATCCATCTTGCATTTCTGGCACTGTCCCATGTGGACAGTCCTGTCAATATAGCCCAGTCAATAAAGGATGCTATTAGAGGGGAAAGTAGCGGGAAGAACTCCAGTCCCATGGAGTCCCTTTAATTATGAACTAGAGGTATCTATTCCCCAAGTTCCACTGTTTAATACAGTATTTCCAGGGACAACTTTCCGTAGACTTGCTTGAAAAACAGCTTACCAACCTCCAAAGCCAGAACCGGCATTCAAGCCTCCAAAGTAAGGCAACTAAAATACCAGTTATATTAGCTAGCCAGCCAGGCAGTAGTGCTTTGACAATTTAGGCAAAACAGAAAAAATTATTTATCAACTATTCAGTTACTACAATTTGGGCTTAAATCCCCATTCTTTCCAGTCATCACTAGAAACCATAACACAGTTATCCATGGAAACTCCTCATGGAGTTATCCCAAACAGGTGCTGTTATTGATGGTATCTAAGATAGGGCATAATCTCCCTTAAATCAAATTCAACTACTAGTGATTACATGGTGATGTCTCCGCAGTTTTCTTGGCAACATCACAGAAGTGGTTTGACACTGCCTTCTTCTGAATTTCTTTTTAAATTTTCCAGTCTAGTCTATACCCTACACATTTCCTAGTGATCTTGCATATGAGTAACCATGTTGGATACTGCTTTGCTTTTCAAGATCAGTCTAGATTAATTAGGTGCTATATCAGCCTTGTGAGGTAGTCCAGACAAGAACAACATCCAGATGAATTAATTCTAATTAATTAACTAATGTCTGTCACTAAGTGATCCAGTCATAAAGCACATCACGTGACTGCATTGGTTAGTGATGGCAATCCTGGCAGTCCTGGTTGCCATTGTAATCCCAGGACTGGGCAGGTTGTTAAGCAGGAAGAGGCAGGAGTCCCAGGCAAGGAGCGCGGTTGGGGGCATGGGTGCCCCAGGAGGGGTGCCAGGGAGCATGAGTGGGCCAGTGGGGGCCACGGACGGATGCTAGGGAGCTTGGGCTGGTGCTATGGAGTGCAGACAGGCGCATGCTAGAGGGTGTGGGGGGGGGTGCTACAGAGTACAAGATCCCTGGGAGAAAAAGCAGTGGGAGTGACTTACGGGTGCAACTTGCAACCTTCCCTGCCAGCTTTTCTATTGACTTTGCTTGTGGGAAGCCAGCAGGGAAGGTTAAAAATGGTGATCACATGACTGTGGGACACTGCAAACTTCGTAAATGCGCAGCAGTTGCCAAGTGCCCAGATCGCAATCACATGACTGTGAGGGTGCTATGACAGCCAGAACTCCGAAGACCAGTCATAAGTACCACTCATTCAATGCTGTCGTAACTTTGAATGGTTGCTGAATGAGTGGTTGTAACCTGAGGACTACCTATAGCAAACTGCACAATAGCAGCATAACTACTGACAATTTCTTAGAGAAACAAGCAAACAAAAAAAGTTCTCATCATTGCCTTTTCAATGACTCTTCATCTAGACAATGAAGAATTGCAAGTGCCAGATGAGGTACTGGGTGGGTCAATCCTGGGGAGACAGGCTAACTACATCGATGTCAGAACCAAGCACCATATTCTTGATTCTGTACTCTTGGATCTTGATCCTGTTATAGAGTTTCAGCCACCAAGCCCATAAGAGTGTCACCACTATTATGTAAGGACCCCAAAAAATGCTAGGCTGCTTTGCAGAAACTTTTGTGAAAATTATTGCTCCATATGTGTGTGTGCATGTGCGTGCATGTGTGTGTACACACACACACATGCACACACACACATATATACTGCATGGTAATTTTTTTCAATGTTTCATTAATTAGCTTTAAGTAAGTGAATATATTGTACTGTTTTAAAAACTATAGATCTAAGTTAAAATCCAAGTAACATAATAAACACATATTAACAGCAATAATTAACACAGTGTATCATAACTTTTGATTAGGAATAACAGTAATTGCTATCCGAGCAGTAGAATATCTATCCTCATTGAACAGATCGTTGAAGGTTAAAATATTAAGACTTTATGTCAATGGATTATTGCGCCTCACTTTTTCCAGCTATCTATGATCAGCACCAGTTGCATTTGAGTGGAGCCCAGGAACTTCCAATATTTGAATCTATGCCTGGTGGCACTGAAAATGTGGGATAATTCTATAGCAGGCTGCTCTTGAACCTTCTGTGTTTGGCCTCCAAGCTTTGCTGGCCTCCTGGATGCCCTGTTATTTGGCTGGACCTAGCAACACCTTACTTCCTTACCTCTAGACCCTGACATATAGAACTACTTCCCTTGAACCTTGGGCTGGACTGTGATGACTCTTGTCCAAAGACTCTGCACTGAATCCTCTGGCTTTGGATTGCTTAACTATTCTATGAATCCTTCAGGACAAAACACTAAGAGAGTGTTGCACAAAGATGCAACCCCTTCTAAAAGGGAAGAAATGGCCCCAAATCCCACTGCACCCATTTTGGCCAAGTCATGACTTTACTGACCCATTCACTATGAAAACAAGCAAAGAAATAAATATATAAATAAAGTTGCCCCATCTATTAAAAATCTTATTTAGACGTGGATTTATAATCAAGATGAAATAAATGTTAATATCCATGCATGTTTAAATCTAAAATAATGGGTTTGTGCTATTAAAATCTAATTTTCATTAATATCAGGAAATGACTGTGGCTATTTTTTCCTTTTAACAGTGGAAATTTAATTTCATTCATGATGTCAAAATTGTATTTATTTAATTATTTAAGGCTGGACTTTGTGGCTTCTTTGGTTGAAAGGTTCTTTCTAGATGAGAATTTTAGTTAGATCTTGTTCTGACATATCAGTCGTAAACAAACAGGAAAGGTGATTTATCATAATTTATGTTTTCCTGTTATATGACTGAATCTAAATGAATCTCAGCTGCATCCTTTAATTGCTCTTTAGAGGATCAGACTAGGGGATGATTTAAGTAACAAAACAAATCAAGTTGTAGGTTCAGGTCCTGGTTTATTCTTATTAAAACAATAATAAACATTTATCCCAAATTCAAACATAGGGGAAAACTGAGAAGCAGGATATTTAGATGGTGTTCACACAATGTTTTAAAGGACTAACTAGCCAAACCAGTTCTACATGCTGTGCAAATGTAGCACGTATAATTAATTTATAACTCCATGTATTATATGAATCCCAATCATGGGTTAAGCTAACTATGGATGTATTATGCTATCACAGCCACTTTGAAGATAAATCCAGCCCTGATTATTATGCCTTCTCAGTCTTGAGGATAGTGCCTCATATACTACAATTTTTGCTTAGGTTCCCCCTCCTCCCCCTTTTTCCCCCTCCTTGGCTTCCACATCCTGGACATGTGATTTTAAATTTAATTTCTCAGATTCTAGAAAAGACTGTGTATTAGGAAGACAAGTCATAAACTTGCTTCAAATCGTTTCTAAGGTTGAATTCTAAAATAGTCATTTCCTGATGAGATTATCATAGTCAGTACTGATATAGTTAAGCAATTTGCCCTTCAGACATATCGTAATTATACTGCTCAATTTGCTTTCGAGTGGATGCTCAAGGTTGCAATTGGACTGGTTGATTTTTAGTAACATTATCAACCCCACACAAACCTGTTCCCAAAGCTGAGCTCTCATAACTGATTTTTTCAAGCCCACTACATAAATCTCAGCCAGCATGAACAGCCAACAACAACGTTCCTCCTTCTGGACCCAATAAACATGAAGACAGGGGCTGTGAGAAAGTACTCTGAGAGTAGAAGCTTGCTGGAAAATAGGATCAGTTACGAAAAGCTCACAGTACTACCTCAAACACTTATATGTCAGAAACAAGCTTATTAAAATAAAATTTTAGTATTTCTTTATGGGTTTTGTTTGTTTGTAGCATTGGTTCAATTGATGTCACAGTTAGCCATCCAGCAAAAACCTAAGTTCTGAAAAATAACCTTGGCATTTCAGTCCTATTCCATTTCACCTCATTTTCTTTTCTTTTTTTCTATTAGGCCTTATCTCTCTAGACCCCCCCACCCCTCAAGTCTTATAATCTATATGGCAAAGCAGAGTTGCAATCTCAAGCAAAATAAAAATAAAGGGAAAGAAATGAAATAGAAAATGAATGGCCAACGGCCCAACACCAGAATCTACTAAACAGCAGGTCTTTCTAGTTGATTAAATAAACTCAAGATAGAGGAGACATCTCCCGTCTGTATGTGCTGTCTCTCACTCTGAGCACTCACTAGGATGTAGTCCATTAAAGGAACATAAACAAGATAAACTTCTCACTAGAAGTGACTGATATCTGTATGTAAAACCTAACCCCTCCCCCAAAGTATGTATTCCAGCTATTATTAAACAATCTTTGTCCAAAGTCATAAAAAATACTTAGTGCAGATTTATTGCATACATAGCAATCGTTCTGAAAAATACTCCATACATTACAAGACGTAGAAGGTTAAAAAAGCTGGCAAAAAGAGCTGGACTGTATTTGGTATGTGAATAATCTTAAAAATGAATATATCATTGAAAGGAGGAAGAGAGAATGTTAAAACCTCCTCATCTGCAGCAATGAACTGAGAGTCCAAATTTACAAAACAAACGGATAAAAGATTTTTTTTTTTTTAATGCATTCAACACTGTATCTAGACATCACAAAAAGTTTTTTTCCAGGATATATTATGCCTATGGAAGTCCAATAGGCAAAATCCAATAAGTTTTGCAGCATATTATTGTCTGTAAGTATTAAGTACCAGTTCTCTGTAGACTCCTGCTAAGAAAGGTGAAAGAGGACAGTGCATGATAATGAAACCCGCGTGGGCATAGTTTGCTTTAACAGCAGACCTATTCCAGAGATGTGCAGTGTCACCTGGACCTGCATTTACATTCCATTTTGCTTTTGAAACCTATTATCAGACAGGTGCCTCACCATGAATGCTGTCACTTCAGGCATGTCCTCACTAGGCTTTCTTCTCACTAAAGAGAACACTTCAATTGATTTTGTGCTTTCACAGCAAAAGAAAATGAAAGCATACAGTACAAAGGAGATGGGTAAAGAAAAGACACATCAAAACATGGCTATGTAATACTCCAAGCTGCTACAAAGGAATTAATATGTCACCAGCAAGTAATGTCAATTTGAAGAAAATAAACTTCTCAATTTCCATGCATACTATTGGAGCATCAACCCATGATTCTAAGAAAAAAATTCTAGAAGAAGTGTGGGTGACCAGGATTTCCCTGTTTCTTCACTTCACTGCCATCACTCAAAGTGGAGCACATGAATCCATTCTATTACAATATAATCTTACTGGAGGGATATGAGAAGAAAGATCTATATATGAATATCAAACCTAGATGGTAATTTCAAACTGGCAATTAGGATGTCACACTGCAGTTCCCAATTGAAGAAACTGCAATTCTGAAGCGGTCTGAGAAACTACAGTAATTGTCATGATCCTTGGTTATTGTTATCTCATTCTATGGGGTAGGCTGTATCTTAAATCTTGTTCAATCTCTCTATCTTACCCATGAGACTATCAATCCCCCCTGAAACATATACTGCCCCTCTGCTGTACCTCAAAATTATCAAGCTCATTGACATGAACTTCTGAGGTGCTTGTCTGTCATTGTTACATTTCTCACTAAGCAATTATTTGAATTTAAAACAATTCCAAAGAATCCCAGGGTTCCCTGAACACAGCTTGAAAACCATTGGATTAAAAGGAAACAAAAACAAAAGCAAGATGAGCAAGCACACACAGAAAATGTCTATGAATCCCTTACCATCTATTGGAGTTAGGGGAAGCTTCAAATCATTCTGGGTAGACCCAGACACCAATCCGGGTGCTGGCCTCTGTAGAAACTGTGGTCTCATCTCAAAGCCTCCTAGCTTTTCTTTGGATATTGTTCCATCAAGGTGGTCAATGTGAAGAGGCTTAACCCTACTGCCATAGGGAGAAGTCTCTTTAGTCCTGCTAACAGATGAACGTCCATCAAGGTTTTTGGCTGACGATTTCTGAGTGATGTATGCATTGAGTGCCACCAATAGACCTTTCCTGTCTAATTGTTCTTCAGGCTTTAGTAGTAAAGTATCCATCTGTGATTTGCTGAAGGTCCTTGCAGGAAAGTTTTCAATATACTTTGAATGGGCAGGTACTGAATAGGTCATAGCAGGTGTTTTTCCTTTAGAACTCTGCATCATATAGTTGATCATGGTCCTTGGTGGTATGTTGCCAACCTAATAGAAGAAGGTAAATTGCATTAGAATTATTCTTAGATTAACCCATTCTAATCAACCAACATGGGAACTCCATAAGAATACATGTAGTTGATTCTTCAGTTTTAGATCTATGTTTGGGCAGGGAGAAGACAATATATATCATATATACAAAAGTGATTTTTTTCAACCTGTATAAAACATGTCTTATTGTTTGCTTGTTTTGCACTGAGGCATGGGATGTTTTAGCAATCTATTTCTCCTATATTTAAAGAGGGACTTATGAAGGCATTGAAGCACTGATCTCTTATTGTTCCATAGTTCTGGTTTTTGAGATATCACCAAGCATTCACAATGATAGGAGCTTGATTTTGAATTTAATTAAAGTTAAAATTCTCATGTCCTTTCTAAAGAAACACAAAGAAGTTTCCAAATCCATGAAAATGAAACAGAAATATGCTAGAGCAGATGGAAAGAACATATTAACATTTAGGCAGAACTTTGGCTCCAACTGAATACTGTCTGTATGGTCACTGCAAGGGTCCTAGAATTAAAGGTGAAGAACACTGTCTTATTAAAAATAACAAGGGAAGGAAGGAAGGAAGGAAGGAAGGAAGGAAGGAAGGAAGGAAGGAGCATTTATACAAACGTCCTATGAACTGTTATTATGGTAATGGTAAAATTTAAATGTCATGGAGAAAATCTATGTGTCGCTAAGAGTCAACAATAACTTAATGGCACATAATCAATCAATCAATCAAAATTTCAATGATTTAAAAATAAAACATTTTTTCAATTGTTTTCTAATGTATCTGAATCCCTGAATATTATTTCAGCTTATAATTCATATCCAGAATGGTATAAAATATAGAAGAAATAAATATGGGGTGAAAACAAATTAGTACTGCTTTGCATTTTTACAGATGAAGATACAGAAATTGTACATAATCAAAAATATTCTTGAAGTTTAGTTGCAGAATTCCAGATGCAAAACAGGACTTCCTTGCCCAATTCTGAACATCACTTCCTAGTTCCCCCAGCTGTTCCTGAAGAAGAAGAGATTCTTTGGAATGAAATGGAAAGAAAGGTGAATGTGAAGAGCTGCTTCACAAACACTTCTCCATGACCAGAAGACCCTTTTCAGAGATCAGGGTTCTTTCAATATCACTTTTCCATTATGAAAAGACAAGCAAACCTAAGCAGTCAGCCAAGATAAAGGAGTCTGTTCCTGTGGTACAAAATCTTATCAGAGAGTTTGCAAAACATACAGTCTGGGTGACTGAGTATGGATTTTAAAGACAGAGAGAAAAATCTGAACGTTCTAAAATACAAGGGATTTTTAAAATTTCCCTGACATTCTTGTAGCAAACAAGGCTGTTGACAAGAACAAGACAGACATCTCAAGCAGTCATATACAAATTGGGTGGAAGTGTCAATCGCAGGCTAAACTGGTATCAAGAGAACAGCCTGCCAGGTCACAATCCAGCAGCCTGCAACACTATTCAAAAAATCCTAATTAAAAAATATGGTATAAACAGCGCTAAAGCCTAGCTGGAAAATATCCTCGCTTCTGGCAATTGGTCCAAAGTCACAGAGGTTGAAAATGTCTATGCTGATATGTACCCTGAAGTTGCCATATTAAATTTAAAGCCATCATTGGCAAGATACTCTCTGGACAGAGGCTTAGATTTGTTTTATTCCCTGTCATTGCTCTAGGGAAAGTCCGCTATGTTGTTTTTTGTTGGGAAACAGTGGAAATCAAGTTCAGTGATATACCAAAAGTACAAAGTAGGACAACATGGACTATACAGTGGTGCTTAAAAGTTTGTGAACCCTTTTGAATTTTCAATATTTCTGCATAAATATGACCTAAAACATGATCTGCTATTCAGTGGTGCTTAAAAGTTTGTGAACCCTTTTGAATTTTCAATATTTCTGCATAAATATGACCTAAAACATGATCTGCTATTCAGTGGTGCTTAAAAGTTTGTGAACCCTTTTGAATTTTCAATATTTCTGCATAAATATGACCTAAAACATGATCTGCTATTGGAAGAATGTTCTAGAGAGGGATGAGACCAAAATATAACTTTTTGGCTTGAATGAAAAGCTTCATGTTTGGCAAAAGGCAAACACTGCATTCCTACATAAGAACCTTATCCCATCTGTGAAACGTGGTGGTGGCAGTATCATGGTTTGGGCCTGCTTTGCTACCTCTGACCAAGACAGCTTGCCATCATTGATGGAACTATGAATTCTGAATTGTACCAGCAAATTGTGCAGGAAAATGTCAGGATATCTGTCCATGAACTAATGATCAAAAGAAAGTGGGTCATGCAACAAGCAACAACCCAAAACACACAAATCATATGACCAAAGAATGGTTATAGCAGAAGAAAGTTAATGTTTTGGAATGGCCACGTCGAAGTCCTGACCATAATTCTGGAGAAATGTTGTGGAAGGACCTGAAGTGGGCAGTTCATGTGAGGAAGCCGACCAACATCCCTGAGTTGAAGCTGCTCTGTAAGGAGGAATGGGCTCAAATTCCTCCAAGCCGACGTGCAGGACTGATAAACAGTTATCAGAAACATTTAGTTACAGTTATTGCTACCCGGGGGGGCACACCAGTTACTGAAAGCAACTGGCGAAAAGACAATGTCACAGGCCATGGGATTCTGTTGGTGAATAGCTTACCTCTAGCACAGGTAGTCTCTGGGATGGTATTGACTTCCATAAACTAACTGAAATAGGAGCTAAGATTGTCATGACTTTCACTGCAGTCATGAGCTTGGCTGAATCCTGTATGTGTTTCAGAATATATTGTCATTCTGGTTTTTGCTGCTGTTTTATTGATTGGACAGTTCAAAATTATTTCATTGTAAGGACAGCTCACTTTCTATAATATTTAGATTTACAGAGATTCTGAAATTCTTTGTTTGAAGATGGATTAAAATAATTTGTCCTCGATGATTATCTAAAATAATTCCATTATGTTCTGCAGCATTTCCAACGTGCATATTTAAGGGAATCAAAACATACTCTGACTGATATCATATTCTGCCCAACATCCCACATTTGTGGAATGGGGGATACATAGAACAATGCTGAAAAAGTCATATTTGGTCCAAATGTATATCAATAAGGGCAACAAAAACTTTGATCTTCTCTGAACAAGTTCATCTGGCAGAATTGCTTGTAATTATTATACGTAAGTATTTACATATTGGTATATGAAAAACTCTTATGAATAATAATACTATATTACAAATACTGTCAGATGACCTGGTGCACAGAAATAAATCTAAGTGACAACCAAAGAAAAAGAATGAAAGCTTGGCTTTATCAAAAGGATATTAGAGCTATATCATAGTTTCTTATTTTAAAAAAGATACACTGCAATTAATTTAACTGTACTTATTATATGTTAATGTGAATCATGTGAAAAGTTAGTCGTGACTTAACCTAATCCAGTAATTTGTTCCAATAGGAACTAACTGTAATTATCTTAGTCTGGAAGCAACACACTTTTCCATGCTAAATCAACGGTATGTTTTGATAGTATACAATATAGCAACCATAGAATGTCATTTTCACTTCCACGATGGAAGAAATTATTGAATACTCTCTGAGCAGATGGAGTTAATATTCACGCAGGTTTTCCTACTAAGATTTCTAAACTATTTGTTAACTTGAACCATCGCTGTCTTGACTGAGGATAAACTTTTTTTTTTTAATATTCCAAAGAATAGTTTTGTTGACCCATCATGAATGCTGTAAATGACCTAGATAATATTCCACATGGACAACAACAAAAAGAACAGAATGTTATCTTGAAACACAAAGTCAGGCTGACTATGACATACCACCCACTACACTTTAGCTAAGCAACTGACCCTTCAGAAAGAAAATGTCAAAGAGGTGAACATTATTTCATCCATTTCAGACTGGTGAATATTAGACTATCCACATTTAAGTGGCTAAAATAGTTTCTCAGATGCCATCAACAAAAATGATGGTGCACTACATAAAAAGTACTATTGCAAGTACCTTAATTATCTATAGACTCCATAGGGCACTCAAGAAAATTCACTCCCATTTTAAAATGCCACTCCTTAAAATCATAACCAAACTTTACTTGACTTCAAGGATAAATAAGTTAACCCAATGTCACTTCTGACCAAGTTCTCTCTGGTCTCTTTATGAAGAAACTTGGTTTGCCAGCTATCCTCATTACAAGAAGAAACTAGGGTTCCTTATACATTAAAGGCTCAAAGAGTGACTTCTGTTGCATAAGATGATGAATATTAAAACAATAAATGGCTTGTTATATTTATTTAAGTTTGTTTGTCTGTTTAAATAATGTTGGGTTGGAGAATCTGGCAAACAAAATACCCAAGTTATCAGGCTATTGTTAATCAAAAATGAGATACAAGATTATGCAATAAGCCATCCATTTTTTTGAAGCAGAATAAAATTAAACTGCTCTACCCCAATTAGGGTATTTAAAATTGCATATGGGAGGAGATATCTAATATTCTTTTTAATGAGAAAAGTAATAATTTTTGAGACCAACAATATCAGCAGCTCAGTGAAATTTTGTTTCTACACTAGATTCTGTAGTTGAGGGCTGGGAAATGCCCAGCTTAGCTCCACTTTTTAAGAATGACTTATGGGAAGATCCAGGAAATTAAAGGCCTCTCAGCTTAACATCTGTTCTGGGGAAGATAGTGGAAACTACTATTAAAGATAGAATTATCAAACATTTGGAGACACAGGCCTTGCTGAAGGATATTCAACATGGCTTCACTAAGGGAAAGTCCAACTAATCTACTACAGTTTTTTGAGAGTGTTAATAAACATACAGATAAGGCCAAGCCAACAGACATTATCTACTTAGATTTTCAAAAGTCCTTTGATAAAGTCCCTCATCAAAGACTTCTCCGTAAACTTAACAGCCATGGAATAAAAGCGCAGGTCCTTTTGTGGACAAGCAACTGGCTAAAGAATAGAAAACAGAGAGG